GCTGGGTGATGCATGCGAATAAGAGTGTGTATGGGGAGGATGCGGAGAGTTTCCGGCCAGAGCGGTGGTTGGATGAGGAGAATGAGGGGGAGGCGTGGGAGGAGAGGGTGAGGGAGATGAAGAGGTGCAATATGGCTGTGAGTGGCTCGTCTCGTTTGTTTGTGTTACTGTTTTTTTTGGGGCGGCTATAGGCACCCATTCTCTACCTTGGCTTGGTGACACAAGGCTAATATACCCCGTCCAGTTCGGAGCCGGACCTCGCGTCTGCATCGGTCGCAACATCTCTATGATGGAGATCATCAAGTTCATCCCTGCGCTAGTTCGCATGTACGACTTCCGCCTTGCCGATCCCGAGAAGGAATGGAAGGTGCTGGGCCACTGGTTCACGAAGCAGAGTGGCATGGATATGATTTTTGTGGAGAGAGTGCATGCCTAAACTCGGACGGTTGCCGCTGCTGTTATGTTCTGTTTTGGATGTTGGTATTTGTCCTCTCTATATCTCCGTTTAATGAGTGTTATTGTCGTTGTATAATACATATTTTAAAGTAACTTAGTAGGGTCTCCTCGCCATGTCAGACGCATGATAAGCCAGAATCGCAGACGTACGTGGCGTGCTTTCGGCCGTTCGGTGCATGTTCGGCGTTACACCATCACTGCTCCATGCATGCACGTACGAGTACCCGATCTGTACTCATTATGAAACTCGTTCCGCCGTGTTAATGACAGGGAATAGAGCGGGGAAGGAAGCGGGGAAGGAAGCGGGGATCTCCCACCTCGCCTACCCCTGTTTGAATATCCCTGCTGTGCCACGTTGAGGGCTTATCAATCAATTTCTATAAACCCCCCCCCTCCCTTCGTTCTTTCATCTCACTTTATATATCAGCCGTTGTGCTACTCTACCAGCCACAGCCTACCCCATCGAGGGACGACGAGGAAGGACAAAGCTGGCTGGAAGTACGAAGGATGATTAGAAATCAAATAGGTAGACGTAGATAATCACACGCCAAGGACATGAGATCACGGCGAGGCTGAGCAATTCGCTTGGTGTGCGCGCAGTTACATGTCAGCTACTGGTTACTTACCTCTGGGCTGAAGAAAAATAACGCGAATGCCTTTGCTTCTCATAAGGAACTAAGAGTCTATGTTTGTGTGGTTGTCTCTTTCTCTTTCTTATCCAACTTTCTTCATTGGCGCATTCTTTCCTGTTTGCTCCCTTACTCCCCGTCACCGTCACCGTTCGTGCTTTACTTCTCTTCTCTCGTTTTCCTCCCGCCCCCTTTCTTCTTCACCTCTCACCCAACCTCTCTTAACACGGCATACCAAACACTCACCGTCACAATGGTTTCCCAAATCCCACCGAGAAATCCTCTATCCACTCCCTCCCCATCCCTGGCGCTGACGCAGACATCGAGCAAGCACCCGAACCTGAATCTCCTCCCACCGGCCGCCAAATCCACGGTTTCCAATGGTTCCTCGTCATTGTCGCTGTCTTGAGCAGCATGTTCATGTACTCACTTGACGGCACCATAGTGGCTGATCTCGTGCCCTCCATCGCCAACGAGTTCCACGCTGTGCCGCTCCTCCCATGGCTCTCCGTCGGTTTTATGGTCGGTTCTATTGTCACCGTCTTGCCGCTGGGGAAGCTCTACGGAAAATATAACGCCAAACACTTATATCTCATCTCCGTCGTGCTCTTCCTCGCAGCATCGGCACTGTGTGGTGCCGCACCGAATATGAGCGCGATGATTGTGGGCAGAGTGTTGCTTGGCATGGCGGGAAACGGAATCTACTTTGGCATTTTGACGCTTCTGAGCGTGCACACGGGTGATACGGAGCGCCCAACTTATCTCTCAATGGTCGGTCTGATTTGGGGAGTTGGCACGGTCCTCGGACCTGTCGTTGGCGGTGGGTTTGACAAAGTCAATTGGCGATGGGCGTTCTACCTGAATCTCAGTGAGTCCCTCCCTTTACTTTCAATCTGGGAAACAACAACATCTAACATTCCACAGTAATCGGCGGACTATTTGCCCCCGTCTACGTCTTCCTCCTCCCCGCCTTTGACCCGTCCCCGTCTACCTCCTTCGTTGCCCGCGGTAAGAACTTCGACCTCCTCGGCGCCACCCTCTCTATCGCCTCAATCCTCAGCCTCGTTATGGCCATCAACTTCGGCAACGCCCTATACTCCTGGGACAGCGCTCCCATAATTGTCCTCTTTGTCCTCGCTGGCGTTCTCCTCATCCTCTTCGCCATCCAGCAGAAACTCGCCTTGTTCACGACAAAATCAGAGCGTATGTTCCCCGCCCACCTCCTCCGCAGTAAGGAGGCCTGTCTCCTCTTTATTGCGGCAGCTGGATGCAATGCTGCGGGATTCCTGCCAGTCTACTATATCCCTGTGTACTTCCAGTTCTCTCGTGGCGATAACGCTTTGGAGGCTGCGGTGCGGCTGTTACCGCTGATCATTGTGTTGAGTGCAACTATTATGGCGCAGGGGTTCTTCATGAGCAAGCTCGGGTATTATCAGCCCTGGTATCTTGTTGGTAGTGCGCTGTTACTGGTGGGGGATGTGTTGCTTTGTGAGTTTACCTGCATGCGTATCTGTTGCTCTAGCTAATGATTGCGATAGCCCGCATTGATGAGAATACGAGAGTTGCCAACATCTACGGATACGAGATTCTCGTCGCCATCCGGCGCTGGGGCCTTCATCCAGGCTGGTTATGCGACAATCCAGACTGTCGTCCCAGCTTCTGACACCTCATATGCCATTGCGTGAGTTCTCTCTCATTCCCTTCCCTACCATTATCCCACACTAGCTCTCTCGCTAACACGTCCAGCTTCATGATGCTCGCCCAATTCATCGGCATCGTCTTCGGTCTCTCCATCGGTGGCGCAATCTTCATCAACACCGCTCTGTCCTCCCTTCGTTCTCTCCTGCCTCTTCTCTCGGAAGCAGACCTTCGCGTCGTGATCAGCGGCACCAGTTCAAATGCCATTGAGCTTATCCCTGTGGCGCTGAGGATGACGCGGTGGCAGCAATTGTGGGGAGTTTGAGGAAGTTGTGTGTAATTATTTTTCGTACCCCCCGAATTATTACTATGAAAGAAGGAGGCTGATGTGGTCATGTAGGTTTATCCCAGCGTATGTGGCTGCGGCGGTGGCGCTTGTGGTATCGGTGTTTATCAACGTGGGTTCTCTCCAAACTATGAACTCTTATCCCCTGTCTATTATTTATCTAACTAACAACTGCAACAGCGCGGAAAAGCTTTCCATGCCACAAGGGCAAGCAGCTAGTCGGTAGATATATATACGTATGTCATTGATTTGATGTGTTTGTATGGGGAAGAAGACGTAGGGATAAAGATGGAGGGGTTTGCAGTATTTACTGAGGTTTACATTTCAAACCTGTGTTTTCGTTTTTCCTTTTGTTTTTATTTATTTTGTGCTTCGATTTCGAGAGTATGTGGGAATGGGGCGTTTAAGCGTATAGAATAGACAGTGCGAAAATTTACCCATTTGCTTTTCTATAAATTACTACGGAAGGCTGGCGAGCAGGTGCAAATGGCCAAAGGGGAAGACTCATTGTAGTAGAGCTTTCCAGTACTGCTGCTGGTGTTTCTCGATGATGTTATTTACTTATAAGTAAGCCCTGTTGATCTGAGAACTGTGATCCCAGCAAGGTAATTTTAATTACGCTATTCCTTAGCTACTACATGAGACGTGGCGACGCCGTCGGACGTGGCGACGCTGTCAGACGTGGCGTGACTGGATACTTCGTCTGAGGCGAATATGCCTTCTATAACCACTACAACTATTTGACTCGGTCGTCACAAGTTAAATCTCCAACAGTTACGGGCGGACCGACGTTTATATTCTGCAAAAATGTCCGAAGAGTCTGCGCCAGAGGCCAGACGGCAAAGCAGAGGTCAAGGGGAAAGTCGGCCTAGGAGCGATGCGACTTCTTTGTGCTGTTGTCGTTTGTAGCTGCTGTTGTCGTTGATATACCGGGCTTCAGTATTCTCATTAATCAACGTCGCACTGCTTTCGACACGGTAGGCGACAGCATGCTCTTCAGTCTAAACGCGACATCGTAAAACCGTCCGATGAGTCATTAGTAATAGTAGTAATTATTAATAGTGTCTGCTCTTGCTCGCTCCCTTCTCTTTGGCCTCTCAACTAAAGCTATTTCTATAGGAATAGCTAGGCCTGAAAGTTATCACAGTCATGTTTATCACTATGACAGTGTATACTACACACCAACACCTCTTTGTACTACACTGCTCTTTACATTGACATGATACTCCAACCCGTGCACTTGTAGAAGCCTCTCTAGCTACAAGCCCTAGCGTTACTTGCTTTATAGAAGTAGGAATATTAATATTAGACCAAAGAGCTTGCTCTACAGTTTAGAGCGATTTTGTTAGTATAAGGCGTTGTATAATACTAGAGAGTGTTAGAACTTAATATCAGTACAGAGTAACGTGGTTGTACACCGAGTCGTGAATGTCACCGAGTCGTGAAACTTTTTTATACCCACCACTGTAAGGTATAATTAAACAACCACAACATGTATTAAAACTAAAACTATTCAGAATCTGATGAGCTAAGTACTTCTATGACCTCCTGACAAGTTCGTGCATTATGGCCAGCCCCCCCGCAAGTGCCACAATGTCGTACACCTGGTTGCCCCTCATTCCTACCAACCCCTCCAGAGCGCTTCTCGCGATTTATTTGCTCCGTAACTGCCCTTTGGGACAAATCATCATGTGCATCCCCTACAGAAAGTGCACACCCTTGACGGACACGAGACTTTTTAGCCCTCCGGCGTTTGCTAAGAGCTTCGTTTGCTGCTCGAAGGGTGCGGACTTCAGCTGACAATAAAGTCATTTCATGTGCCAAAATCTCTGTCCCTTTAGCTAATGCAGTAACAGTAGCAAAATGGGGGTTGGCGAGCTTCCTTGGTGCCGTGCAATGCGATTTTTAACTAGAGTAGTCTGTGAGAGAGCATCTATTGGGTTGCGAGGCGTTTGAGAAACCCAAGGATCAGCGTCTATAGAGGGGGGTCCTGTAGGTGTAGGAGTCCGCAACTTGACGTCTAGCTTTGAAATGATTACTTGCGGATCAAAGGGCACTAAACCAGCTCCGCGAAATCCAGCTTTGGCGTTTTGAGTTGTTATTGACTGGTTATAAGCTGCGTGGAAAGCTATAAAAAACTCAACCTTTGTAATATGGTTTATATGAGCCTTAATAAAGGTCTCAATTTGACGCCCATACATGCGTTTAAGAACACTAAAGCACCCAACATCAAGTGGCTGAGTTAGGTGAGACGAGTGAGGAGGTAGACAGAGAGTTATGATGTTGTTTGCTTTGCAATATTCCTGAAACGCAGCTGATTCGTGACTTTCATGCCCGTCTAAAACCAACATCCGATATGGTCCTTTTGCACGACTGCAAGTATGTTTATCAAAATGATGAAGCCATTCTAGACCTGTCTCGTTGTTGGTCCATCCATTGCTTGTTGGTTTAATTACCCAATTGTGAGGAAGGCCGCCTTCAGTATACCAACTTGAAAGGTGACATTTCCCTTGAACTACTAAAAACGGAGGGATACTCCCGCCTTCAGCATTCACACAAACAATTGCTGTAGCCCATTCCCGATTGCCAGGCTGAACTGCCTTGCCTCTGCCACGTCGATCGGCGCGCGTAACAACTAAAGCTGAGCTAATAACGCCCATCATGAAGCCCGTCTCGTCAAAGTTGTAGAAATCACAGTCTTGGATGCCGTACTTTGCTCTCATGTTCTGCACAAGTTGAAACCACGCTCCAATAAGCTCAGGATCTTCGCACAAGGCTCTTTGAAAGTCATAAACGCGATTAAAATGCGTCTTTAACTCGGGGCGGCGTTGTATAAATTGATATGCCCACCGCGTCCCAACGTGCTTTCCCCCACGCGATTCAAGGATATAATTTGCCATATCCTCCACACTAGCAGGCCGAGGTGCAAATCCTCTTGCATCCATATCCAATATATTTCGAATAATCACTTCCTCTTCTAGCTCAGTCAATTTATGACTATTGGCTTTGGTTTCGCGTCGAGAAGGTCGGCCGGCCATTCTATCAGTAAGCGTAGAATAAGGCACTTTATATAGTATTGATGCAGACCTGCGATTAAGCGATTTACATGTTTGAAGAGCCTCAATAGCTAGAATGATTCGCGCTTCTTGGGTTTGGATTTCCATTGGTAGTTGTGGAGGAAACGCATGTTGAAGTTCGTAGGTAGCTAAGTAGGGAAAAGTTCACGACTCAGTGACATTCACGACTCGGTGTACAACCACGTTAATGCTCTTCTAAAATGCGTGCAACGAGCCTCTTATTATCAGTTAAGGTTCTATCCTCTTGAGGGACCTTCATAGAGACTATAGCTCTAATATCAAAGTGTTAGATATCATGCTTCTTTGTATACTTGCATATCATAGAAACCCTGGTTCTTTGAGTAGCTGCTTGTAAGGATGCCTGTCCCTCAGTGACGGAAAGGATCTGAGTCGGGCAGGTTACGGTCACTTGATAAGAGTTAAGGCAGGTTAGCCGAGTCGGACCCGTTTCAGGTACTTGAGGAGATTGACCCAACGGGGGTTCCTCTCCCTCAGTGATGGAAGGTATCTGAGTCGGACAAGTCATGGTCACGTGGTGAGGGTGAAGGCAGGTTAGCCGACTCGGACCCGTTTCAGGTACTTAAGGAGATTAACCCAACAGGGGTTCCTCTCTTCATCTTTTTTGTATCCTTCGTAGTAGACCTATAGGATAGCATCTGTTTAGCCTCCGACTCGCACTCCCATATGCTATTACTGTGAGCTGGGTGCCCTGTGTCCTTACACTGCTATAGCTTTCTCAATTATAGGGCCAGGAAGCTTAGTCCTAGGCTGACCTAGCACTCGAGCCTAGCTCCTACGCTAGGGCTTAGGCTTAGGGCTGAGATCAGAGCCCGAGAGCTCAATTCCGAGCTCTAGCTCAGCCTAGGATTGAGCTCTCACTGTTACGATATCAAGTGCGCCTTGCAGCTCGAGTGGGGGTTCAGGGGTGTGGGGAGCTTTCCGGGGTTGGAGCGAAGTTTTCAGTTGTGGAGTGAATTCTCAGAACTGGTCTCGCTAAAGAGAATTCACTCCACAATAGCTGTATATAGATCGAGCCACTGCTCGAGTGCTCCTCTTCTCTTTCCTTTCTTCTCTAGATTGAGTTTAATTCATAATACCCAACTGGCGCCCTATGCCTTGGTGAACCGTGACATAAAACTCAATCTCTCTTATACCTCTTTTCCTGCTCTTTGAGCTGAACCCTCTTCTGAAATCGAAATCGAAATCCACTCTTTGAAAACCCCAGAACCAGAAACCTTATCCTGAAGTCGATTCCAGGACGATCTCGAGGCAACCTCTCAAAGTTGGCTTTCGACAGTCAGCTCGACACACACACACCACCTTCGCAAGTCAGACCTTTTACAACGCTCCCTCGACAAGGATATAACTGTGAGGGAAGTGCGCTCCTCTCGAGTGGCTCCTACAGCCAACAACTGCACAATAGGGCCTTTGGCAATATGTGTCTGACTTGACGATATAAACCGAAATTGAAATAGCAACTCGCTATGGCTTATACAGCTGAAGAAAAAGCTGCAATGGCAGCTCGAAATGATCCAGAACAAGACCAGGAATCCCTGGCAGAAGGAGCATCAATTCCAAGCTCTGCAAACCAAACCAATGAACTTCATGATCCTAATTTCAAATCCAAAACCTTCCTTCACACTCTGGGCAAAACAGCTCAAGAGAGACATGAATCTATACTTGCAAATCGACATGAAAAGGCTGAATGGAATGTTGAAACCTTTGACGAATTCCAGAAACTATCTGTCGCCAACCAGAAAATGGCATGGACTTTGCACAAGAACATTCTTCGGGACTATTTGGCCCTAGCAGAGGACTCAAATTCGATACTGGCTGAAAAGGATGATGCCATTCTCCAGTTACAGGAACTGATCCAGAGGAACGAGCAACAAATCACAGAGCAACAAACAATTCAGAAATATCTTGAAACGCAAACCCAACAAGCTCTGAAGAATGAACCAGGACACCACTCTCACAGTCGACTGTCAGCTCGGATTCCAGACCCTCCCAATCCTCACAGATGGGATAGAGCCAGCATTTGAAGACTGGGGTTGTGAAAATTCGCCTCAAGCTCGAAGCCAACATTGATCATTTTCCAACACAGACTTTACAAATGAGCTACATTCAGAGTCGACTGGGAGGACTGGCAGTTCGACATGTCAATCCAAGGCTTCGACCAAACTCTACAAACAAATTGCAGACAGCAGAAGAAATTCTTGAAGTTTGGAAAAAGTCTTCAGTGATCCCGATCGAAGGCACACAGCTCAAACTGAGTATCGAAAGCTGTATCAGAGAAACAACACCTTTGCAGTGTTCTGGGCTGAGTTCCAAAGGCTCGCGACAGAGCTTGATTACTCTGAAGAAACTTTGCTGGATGACTTGCGCTTCAAAGTCAACCAACAGATGCAGAAAGCCTTAGTGGCTGAAGTTGGAGCTACTACACTTCACGAGTTTGCAAAGAAATGCATGCTCATCGACCAGAACATTCAGCGGATCAAGGAACAAGAAGACAAAAGGAAGCCAAAGTCATTTTTGAACAACATGGGCCAAACTCAAAATCAGGGCCAGGCACTTCGAACTTCAATCCCTCAACCTACAATGGATTCCAACATGCAAAACAAGACGCAGAAGCTGTATCGACCACCGCATCAAGATCCAGCAAAAGAAATGCTCATGAAACTTGGGAAATGCTTCATATGCCGACAAAATGGACATCAAGCTCGAGACTGTCCCCAGAAGCTCAAAGCTCAAGTGAATGAGGTATCTACAGCTGAGTCTATCATCGATTCGGAAAACGAATAGCCTCTAGACAAGTCATCACTAGAGGCAGTGCAGCCAGAATTGCAGCTTCTTCCTCGAGATCCAGTTTTGATCCGGACACCCCTTCTTAGCTACTTGTAGAATAGGAAAATACAAAGCTATTGTCCATGCATTGATCGATACTGGTGCCACAGGTGGAAACTTCATTAATGCTGCTGATGCAGAAAGAATATGTGAAATCGAAGGGATAGCCCCAGTCGAACTTGTGAAGCCAAAACAAGTTGAAGGATTCAATGGAGAGGCTGCCCCTGCTATCACACATGCTATATATCCTCGACTACAAGTGGGGAGAGCATGTGGAAAGCCTATGTCCATTATTCATTACTTCGCTGGGAAAACATTCCATCATTCTCGGGAAAGCTTGGATGAAGCAACATGGAGTTGTTCTCGATATGATCAATGATCAAGTCCTCTTCACTGGAGATTATTGCAACCATTCTATACCAGATCGAGCCCTCGAAACAGAGCCTATATCTAAAAGCGAAAGACAAAGGCCAAAGAAGAAAGCCAAAGAAATGCCTCCTCCGGAACCTGCTCCGAAAGTGGAAAAACCAAAACCTTGCACCATAGCAATGATTGGCGCAGCACCATTTCGAATGCTCATGAAGCAAAGAGGAGCTCAAGTCTTTGCTATATCAATGAAGGACATAATCGAGCACAAGAACAAGACCAAAACTGAAGAAATTGGCTCTCGACTGATCCTTCCGAAGGAATTTCATGAATTTTTGGATGTTTTTTTCAAAAATGGCAGCAGACAAGCTACCTCCCCATCGACCTTCAGACCATCATATTGAACTCGAAGGTGATGCAAAGCTGGGATATGCACCACTCTGGAATATGTCAAAGGAAGAACTTGATTTGGTTGAAGAATATGTCTTCGAGCACTTGCCAAAAGGGTTCATTGAAGCAAGCAAA